TATGATTGTGCAGCTACCCATCCAGGCTGTCACATTGTAAAGTTTGCAGATGATACAGCGGTGGTGGGATGCATCACAAACAATGATGAGTCCAGCTACAGGCAGGAGGTGGAACACCTGGAGAGCTGGTGCAGAGAGAATAACCTTCTCATCAATGTGAAGAAGACAAAGGAGATGATTGTGGACTTCAGAAGGAACAAAAACATCTACACCCCCCTGAACATAAGAGGATCTGCGGTGGAAGTGGTCTCCAGCTACAAGTACTTGGGTGTACACATGAATGACAACCTCAGCTGGAGCAACAACACCACCAGCCTGATCAAGAAAGCTCATCAGAGACTCTACTTCCTCAGACGGCTGAGGCGAGCTGGTCTGGGAAGCTCAGTCCTCACCTCCTTCTACAGGTGTGCAGTGGAGAGCATCCTGTGCTCCAGCATCAACGTGTGGCATGGAGGCTGCACAGCTGCAGAAAGAAAAGCTTTGCAGAGAGTGGTGAAGGCTGCACAGAAATCTGTCGGAATCAGCCTCCCCACCATCACAGACATCTACACCTCCAGATGCAGGAAGAGGGCCACCTGCATCATGAAGGACCCCACTCACCCACCACACACACTTTTTGCCCCACTCCCCTCAGGAAGGAGGTTGAGGAGCATTAAGTGTAGAACCACTAGACTGAAGAACAGCTTCTACCCTGAGGCTGTTAGACTCATGAATCTCTAACTAGAATAATCACTGTGAAAAACCATATCATGTTGCTGCTGACCTGTTTCATGTTGTTGCTGATCTGTTTCAATGTTGATGTGTTCATGCGTGCACATCTGCTCACAGACTCATGTTCTTGTTTGTGCTGATGTTCAATGTTTTATGATATGAGTGCTTAGTGTATATTTAGTTGATGTTTTTCTTAGTTCATATCTTAGATGTTGTTACTGTTTTTCTTATACATTTTATTGTTGGATTTAACTGGGACCCCGTGTACATAATTTCGCTCCACCACATGTACCACATGAGGTGCGAATGACAATAAAGAAACTCTGACTCTGACTCTAAATGTCTACATGCTACATATGAGAGTGGGCACAGGTCCGGGGAGGTGGAAATGGTAGTACATCCCACCACCTAAGTGCGATCATGTGCCCACTCCAGATCCTATATATGCATGTGTCGTGAGAGTGTTATAAGTGATTGTCTAGGTTGTATATTAAAATTAGGGCCCAGGACCCCACCAGCCACGGAGATGGATGATTCTCCCCATAGCTCAGTAGTGCACCTGAATCCCAAAACCCTGTTTGAGTGGTGGTGTGGTGGAGTGGGCGGAGGAGGACGTCGGGATGGGGAGGTGAACTGAGGTGGCAATGCCCCCCCCAGGGGACCAGCTCCCCCACTGACCCCAATAGGCACCCCCACTCTCCGAGATCCACCAGGGGACAGAGGCTCTAACAGAGATACCTAGGAGGAGGTGGCAGCCGCACCACCAGGGATCATGGCCACGGACCGGCACATAGCCCCCGAGGACCAACCAGAACCAGGGCTAGCAACCCAGACCCATCCCGAAACCGTCCAGACACGCCAACCCGATTCCCAGCCCAACACCCAGCCCCCCAACCAGAGAGGCCACCAAACCCCAACTGGGACAATCAGCCAGGAGTGCCCAAACAGTCAGAGATAGAGCACCGCAGCGACCAAGAGCGCCCCCCCACCCCAAAAAAGCAACACCCATAACAACACCCACAGCGAGAGCGCCCCATGCAAGTGAGGGCACACACCCAGCGAGCCCAGACTCCCCCGGTCCCACAGCACAGAGCCCCCC